ATGGACAAGATTAAATGTTTATTGTGCAAGAAAGTAATGTCTGGTGGAGTTTATCGGATCAAAGAGCATATTGCTGGTATTTCAGGGAATGTTAGCAAATGCCCCATAACTTCAAAAGAAGATCAAATAAAATGTAGAGATGCTCTCATTATGGCGAAGAACAAAAAGAAGAACAAGAGAGCTGAAGAACTTAATATAAGAGCGGAGGTAAACATCGATTCGCATGAGAGTTTGAGTAATACACCTACAAATAGTATTGATGTTGATGAGTTGCAACAGTCTGAACATATGAGGCCACCTCCTCCAATTGGCCCTATGGATAAGTTTGCAAACCAAATCAATCCTGAAATTTCTTTGAGTTCAAGAAGGGGCACGGCGCAACAACGAATAATTGAGGCATTTGACAAGGAGAGGGTTAACCGAGTGAAAGAGTACATATGTAGATGGGCTTATGAAGCAGCTGTTCCATTTCATGTTATTGAAAAAGATAGTTTCAAGTTGATGATTGAAGCTGCTGGTCAATTCGGTCCGGGAGCGCAGACACCAAATAGATATGAATTGAGTGAAACATATTTGAAAAAAGAGGTTGATCGAGTCCGAGACAGTTTGAAGGAACATGAGGCGTTGTGGAAAGAAAATGGTTGCTCAATTATGACTGACGCATGAACAGATAAGAAGAGAAGAAGCGTAATGAACTTGTGTGTAAATTCAAGATTATGCACTGTTTTTTTATCTTCTAAAGAATGTTCAAGTGAGGCACACACATGTCAGTTTATATTCGAATATGTGGAGCTTGGGATTGAACAAGTTGGAGAGGAGAATGTTGTTCAAATTGTCACAGATAATGCCGCGAACAACATGGGAGCTGCTAAATTGTTGAAGGAGAAGAGGCCACGGCTATTTTGGACATGTTGTGCAACTCATTCCGTTAATTTAATGCTTGAAAGCATTGCAGGTACCTTTCAATCTTTAAAACTTTATTCTTTAATCTTTATTCTTTAACTTTAAATCTTTAAATTTTTCATACTTGAATGCTTTGCAGGTTTACCCCGGTTTAAAAAAGTTCTTGATCAAGCAAAGAGCTTAACTATCTTTATCTATGCACACTATAAAACATTGGCAATGATGAGAACCTATACAAAGAAACGTGACATAGTTAGGCCAGGTGTGACTAGGTTTGCTTCTGCATTTCTTACTTTGCAGAGTTTACTTGCTAAGAAAACTGAATTAAGGGCTATGTTTACAAGCAATGAATGGGAAGAATGTAGGTTTGCCAAAACAGTTAAAGAGAAAGCTTCCTATTCTACTGTCTTGAATACTTCATTTTGGCAAGGGGTTACATTATGCTTGAATGTTTTTGAACCGTTGGTGAAGGTGCTTCGTATTGTTGATCAAGATAAGAAATCTTCAATGGGATTTCTTTATGGTGAGCTTTTGCAAGCCAAAGATGACATTAAGAAGGCATTCAATGAAGTGGTAAGAAACTATGAGCCTATTATTAAGATAGTCGAAGAAAAGATGAGCAATAGGCTAGATTCTCCTCTTCATTTGATGGCTTTCATGTTGAATCCTTATTATCATTTTAAGGATCCTCGACTTCATTTGGATGTTAATGTTTCTCTTGGATGCATTGAGTTTCTTGAAACATATTATCATGGCGATATAGAAATGCAAAACAAGGTATTGAATGATGAATTTCCCAATTATAAGAGGAAAGATGGTGTATTTGGGAAGACACTTGCGGTCAAAGGATGTGAGACAAATAATGAGCGATATGATCCGGGTAAATGAGTTGCATACTAGTTTTAAATTTTAATATTTAAAATTTTATATCTTTTGATTTTTTATACTTAATATTTTTTATACAATTTTGATGTAGCAATGCGGTGGTCAACTTGTGGTGGGACAACTCCAAACTTGCAAACAATTGCGATAAAGATTCTATCTCTTACTTCAAGTTCATCGGGTTGTGAAAGGAATTGGTGTAAATTTGAAGGGGTTAGTTAAAGACTTAAATCTTTACTTAGTTATTTACTTAATTTTTTCATTTTTGTTTGCACACTTGATGGAATGATATATAATATATTTGAGTATTTGACATTTGTTTTGCATATTTGTAGATACATACAAAAAAAAATGAAATAGGTTGGAATCTAATCGCCTAAACAATCTAGTCTTTGTGCAATTCAATGCAAACTTGATGAACAAAAGGAAAAAAGCGCAAAATGTTGAAATATTACTTGGTAGTGATGCAACCTTCGCACAAGATTGGATTGTTGAGGATGAAGTTGAGGTTGTTGTTGAAGATGAAGTGGCTACTAATGAGGAGGGTGATGACGCATTAAGACCAAGACGGAGTTCTAGATTGAGGGACCTTGAAGAAGATAACTTTGAATCCGAAAATGAAGAAGAAGAAGAAGAAGAAGAAGAAGTGGTTGTTGAGTTTGAAGATGATGAAAATCAAGTGATAGATGGACAAGTGGAAGAACAAAACCTTGAAAGTTGAATACTTGAATTTGATATGTTAACATGTTGTTGAACTTAATTGTCATGTACTTTGTATCTTTGTTTGAAATTTGATGACTTGAAGTATGAATGTATGAACTATTTGAAATTTGATAACTTGAAGTATGAATGTATGAACTATGAACTATGAAGTGTGAAGTATGATTGTATCAATGTATGAATGTAATCAATTAATCATTTATCATTGTATGAACTATGATTCTATGACGTATGAAGTATGGACTATGGAGTTATGGACTATGGATTAATGAATTATGAGTAGTGTTTAATAATGGTATTAGACTATTGGTAAAAAATATTTACTTGCAATTCACTCATTCTTTAAAGATTAAATTGTATACTTGTATAAAAATAATTAACTATACTATATAATTTACACTTTTAAGTAGTTTTAACCATTTTAGATAATCAGGTATTAAAATTTTACAAATTTTAGTTTTTTTTTTAATAAAAAAAAATAAAAAATTCGGCGCCTAGGGTCGCCTAACGTGTTTTGCAACCTTTGACATGGGTTACCTATTAGCCTTAATTAGATTCCTTGCCTATTAAGGTTCTTTCTCTAAGATCTCCTCTTCTTGATTTCTCCTACGTTGGTGATAGGGGAATTCTTGGGAATTCTTGTGTGGTGATATCTATTGTGGTGTCAGTTCTAGGTGCTTCCTAGGTCCTTATATATAACTAAGAGTCCTAATTAGGGTATGAATGATATGGGTTTACTAATTCTATTTCTTATATGACTAAGGGTTTGGTTTAGGGATAAGGGTCCATGGCTTATAGTGGACCCTTCTTAATTAATTAAGGGAATTAAATCCCCTTTTAAGGGTACGTAATTAAGTAATTAGTTTGGTTTAGAGGCCGTAACACGAGGTGTTACAATCATAATACTAGATCTAGTAAATAAACATTGTCACTCTTGGAAAAGCTTGAATAATGTAGTCCTGGAGACGCTCGTCCAGATTAGAGCCGTCAAAACGGTCTCGCGGGGCGAGACGGATCAAAATAAACCAAAGCCCGTCCTCGTAGCGGGACGGGCTAAAAAGCCCGCCTCTTAGCGGGCTTGGAATGTGGCCGGCCCGCCCCGCCATGCCAAAGCCCGCTGGCAGGGCGGGCTAGCCCGCCAATCAATTTTTTCACTGTGTTAATTTTTTTTAAAAAAAAAAATCACTGTACAATATCCTTTAAAAAAACAAAAAAACAAAAAAAAAAAAAAAGAATCACTGTACAGACGTACAGTACACTAACACAGTAACACTACCTAGTATTGTATTCCTATAAATCTATAATCCTATAAGTTATAACACAATTACACAAACCAAAATAACATGTATTAAATACTAAATATATATACAAAATATATATGTATTAGCAGGTCGCGGGCTAAACCCGTGACCCGCCTGACCCGCCCCGCCTGGACCCATGACCCAGGCGAGACGGGCTAAAAAGCCCGCCTCCTGGCGGATCAAGATTTGAAGAACCCGTCCCCTACCTACAGCGGTGCGGGACGGGTCGACCCGGCGGGTAAAACCCATTTTTGACGGCTCTAGTCCAGATGACGAGAAACCCTAGTCAATTCATAGGTGCACTAAACAAACATAATACTTGGGATGCGGGACAACCAGATGTGATCTGAATAATTCTGGGAAATGTCTAGAATCTGGTTGACTTAAATATTGCCATGAACAATTATAAATATGGGAGAGATTTATGAAAGTATTGTAGTTGTCGACAACACAATTGCCTTTACAAATTGCTCCGTTATATGATAAGCTGGATCCAAAGTTAGGCACCGGGAGTGCCATGACTATTTAACGTATAAAGGAGAAATTAAGGCATAGCTCGACTCGCTAAAATGTATAATTCTCTTTATAATAATGCACAGTTGAGCGTTAACCCTGAAGGTTACAAATGGGTGTACATGAAAGAGAAATAAGAATAACAAGGTGATAGGATATGAAGCGAGTTTGTAGCATATGGGTTCACGCAGAGACCCTTGATTGATTTAATCAAATATACTCTCCCACGGTAAATGACATTAAGTTCCACTACATCATTGGCAGAATAATAAATTAGATATCCAACTAATATTAATTTTAAAAGTCACCAAAGGATTTTAAGTTCTCAAAATGAGAAAAATTGAAAATTGCAACATTAAAATATTAAGGTCTTTAAATGACCTGAAATAGTTAATAATTGGTTGCGTATTTTTCTCTCAAAGAATGAATACGTATTTATGTGTCATTATGTACTCTTTAAAGAGTTGCGAATGGAGTTATTATCCTCATGAAGAAGTAATAATATGTACCATTATGTGCTCAACAAAGAGTTGATAATGAACTTATTTATTATCTCGGTCAATATTGATGGTGTAAACATCAATGAAATATATATAAAGAGCTTGATGATGTTAGTCTATGTCTAAAGACGGAGATTTGAAATAAAAGCTTGTGAAAGCCAAGTATTATCTCGACTTGAAGATCGAATTTTTCCTTGAAGAATTTTTATACACCAGTTAGCCAATATATAATGGGCTACTTGGGTACTGACTATTATTTTTGTATCCCCATAATGCCAAGTTTCAAAACTCGTTGTACTATATTTACCCCCATTGTCCTATAAAGGGACAACAAAGATTATGTTGCACAAATGATAAAAGGATATATATAATGAAATCCTTTTGACTATATATTATGATATCAACAGTGGCAGATCCAGAAAAAATTGTCAGTGGGGGCAAAACATTATAGTTTGAAAAACAATGAAACACTTAAGAAATATAGTCATAAAATTATTGGATATAGATAAAAAATAAAACACATTAAAACTTTATAAAAATATTCATAACAAAATATGAAACATAATTAATTTAATAAAATAATTCAAATAAAAAACACATTATAAATTATACATCGTGTCAACACATTATAAAGAAACACTTGTGTTGAAAGTAAGTGATTTAATGAAGCAATTAAAGAAACCCTTATGTTGAGCCATAATGAAACAGAAACAGTTAGGAAAGGGATGGGATTAATGTTGAGAGAGGAAGGACTCGAACCACAGACGTTTCCCAAGCCCAAAAATGCCTTTGCCAACTCGTCCAACTTAACTATTAGTCACTTTTATCAGTTTTTAAATATTTATATGTAAAACATGTACTATATATACATATATACATACAAAGGCTATATATGGGGTGGGGGTGGGGGTGGGGTGAGTGGGGGCAGCTGCCCCCACTGCCCCCATGCTAAATCCGCCCATGGATATCAATATTATACCCACGTGAGTTCCAGAAGAGTCACAGAGTTATTATAAAGTATATTCATTCCATTGATAGTTGTACATATTTATTTATTCACAAAATTACTCTATACAATATGGAAATTCAATGTATGGGAATTAAGTATTGTTACCTTGAGGGGTGTATCGTTTTACATAAATCAATCCTGAATATTGGGTCTTAACGACTAACGGTTGTACTTTTTCCTTAGTTAAATTTTTCCCCATGGGGTTTTTACTTAAATCTAAGGTTTTTAATGAGGCAGCTAATCTAAAACAAGAATACGCATACATCATGCACTCTTTTCCTCAACTAGTTCTTTCCCACTGGGTTTTCTAGTGTGATTTTTAATGAGGCATGAGTATGATATAGTAATGTCAATAGGGAAATGTTGCAAAATAGTTGCTAGACAAATCCCAAAATCTTGAAGATTATGCCGATTATGGCTTAATGGCTTATGGTTGTACTCTTTTTCCCTTAACTAAGTTTTTCCCACAGGGTTTTCTTAAGTTAAGGTTTTTAATGAGACAATCAGTACAATATATGTTCTTACAAATATCATGTACTCTTTTCTTCAACTAGGTTTTTCCCACGTGGTTTTCCGAGTGAAATTTTTAACGAGACATGAATATATATATATATATATATATATATATATATATATATATTCTTTTTGTCTAGGTTTTTCCCACAAGGTTTTCCTAGCAAGTTTTACGAGGCAGGATCATATTAAAATAATGTCCAACGAGGAGTGTTGTAAAATCTTATTATGGACATTATTCTGGCATTAATAACATGATTTGTAACAACTTAGTATTTATGGAATGTTATGTAATAGCTGTCAAATATAGATTATATATACTTTGTAATCTTGTATAGGATGTAACGATGAATAATATGATCCTTCCCTTTCCCTCAATAATCTCTCTTGATTTCTTAACATATACGATATTATATATAAGAACAAGATTGACAATATTGACAATATTATATATAAGTCGATATATAGAGGTTAAATTTTAACCTCAATATTGACAATATTATATATAAAAACAAGATTGATTTTCTTTTTAATTGAATGTGTATATAGAGTTTGTTTGTGGTTGCAATGCAAACTTGAATGTAGAGATTTACAAGATAAAAAAACATAATTTAAATGAGGATCATAAAAATAAAAAGTAAAATACAATTAAAAATTATAGTGGCAATTCAAAAATGTCACTAAAGTTAGATGAGAAATGATTTTAAAATTAAAGCATAATTTAGAGGCGGTTTTATAACCGCCGCTAATATTTAAAGTAAAAATAAATAAAATATTTAGCGGCGGTTACGTAAGTGTTGCTAAACCCTAAACAAAAATAACTAATTATTCGCGGCTGTTACACAACCGCCGCTAAATGCATTAAAAACCGCCGCTAAATAAGTTTCCATGAATTCGCACATTTGTTGAAAATCATATCTAAATCTTTCTTGACACACTATTTAGTCACGGTTGGAGAACCACCTCTAAACAATTTAGTGGCAATTACCCACCGCCGCAAAATAATAAAATAACCGCCTCTAAATAACCTTTTTGGTGTAATGAAAGTAAGAACTGAAATAAAAAATAAATGGTTACTTATAGATACTGTATAGTAATACTTATATATAAAATTGTGATAGAGAAAATTATACTTTTGGTCCTATGACTATTGAGGTCTTAGTTA